AATGGAAAGAGGGATGATATATAGGGCGGCCTTTTATTTATTTCTTGCATTTATTTTTAATCATCTTGTAAAAATTTGTTTCAAATAGAATTTCAAAAACATAATAGTGTCAAAACCTAAAATACCTTCATTAATTATATACTTCCGCAGCATTGAAGCTTTTTCTTTCTTGGATATATATGATCTTGTTGATACAACTACATATATATGTAGTACGACAAATCTTGATTATATTTTAAATTTTTATACCCTAATAGAATAATAGTACGTTTACTAATACGTAGATACAGTAAGCAATTAGGATCAAATCACGATAACAAAATTTAGAGAGTTGTGGCTAACTATATATGCAAGAAGAAGAAACAATAATACTAGCTAGTAATAATATAGTAGGAAAACGAAGATAGAATTGCATGCAAATAGCTAGGGCATGATTGTGATTGGATCAAATCATCAAAAGATTTGACCCATTGTTGGTTATTTACAAAAGAGTCAACTAAAAATCAGTGTGTTATCAAATAGATCGTAAAAAGTCATCTGTCAAAAGAAGTCGTCAGGGTTGCCAAATTTTCATAACCCAACCACCTTCATCAGAAAAAAAAGGAGACCTAAAAGACTCTTCTTGTCATTAAACTAGCTAGTCTTCCATTTTTTGGTAGCATCAATCGTAACTATGTTTTTTTTTTTTTTTTAAATTGAATAATATGATTTTTAAATTGCATTATTTTGTCTTAAGAAGATGTGACATGATTTTCCAAATTTTTATTATTTATTTGTGTAAAAAGAATTAAATATTATGAGTAATAATTACATTGGTCGTAAATAATTAAATCGAAACTCAAAAAAGAAAAAAAAAAATCGGAACTCAAAAAAATTTCGAAAGTTCATCCCTCATGTCTTATTTTCGTTCTCTCTTAGCTTTCTTAAATTACCTTGATGTGTAACCATTATTTTTTTCTTAAGAAACAAAAAAAATAAAATAAAAAAGACCTTTATCATGTATATACAAAATCGTTATCACATGTTATTATTATCTCTTCATTAAGCATATTCGTAAAATCAAAGTATATATTATTATCTAAGAGTATTATGAAAGTTGATCTACCAATTCAATTCCAATTTTTTTAGTATCAATATGTTATTCATGCATATTATTCATAGACGTGAGTACGTGACTATTAGTTCCGAACAAATACAAGAGTAACATGTATGCATGGGAGTTAAGTTGGGGAGTGAACGAAAAAAACAAAGGAGTAGGAGTTATAAGAGAGTATAGAGCGCATGCTAGGGGAAATGCGTCATCTACCAAATTGTAAGGATGGATGGATCATTTCAATGGAGAGCATTTAAAGGGGGGCAAATTGTCATCATTACTTCTAGTACGTCATCATTATTTTTCCTTTTATTTTCATAATAAATTAAAATATGTTTTAATTTGTATGTGAATTTATTTTGACTACGTCTTGAATGACAGGATATCAGTTCGATAGTCGAAGTGTTATACTAATACTATTGTGTACTGTTTTGCCTTTATAACCCTTGTCTTTAACTGTCCTATGTAATAGTACTACTGTACTACCAATAATTTAACTTATTTAGTTTTATAAAAGACATAAATTTCAAAATAATCTATTTAACCTATAAAATGTCAATTATGATATATGCACCATGCATGTAAGTAATATATATTATATACTCGTACTTGGTTAAGTAGGTATTGATAGATTTTTATGGATCAAATCTCTATGTTTAAAAAGCGCTCTAAAGTCTGAAGTGAATATTCTCTTATTAATTAACTAGTGTTACGGCTATTGTCCTTAACCCACTCCCTCCCGACCTTGCCTATCTACCACAAAGTTTCAGACTAATAGAGCACTTTTTGTTACCTACTTTAAAAAAAAATCATACACACTATAATATATTGAACAAAACAGTATTGAATATACGATATGATACACATACACTCGGGTGTATAACCATATTGTCTCTAAAAAAAACCTACTTCGTAATAACCTACGGAGTATAATAATAATTAATAATACAAGTACATGGTATATATAAAAGGGAGAAAGTAGGTTATTATACAAAATGAATCGTCCTAGTAGTAGGTTCTGAGTTAAATAAGAGTCATTGGAATTTGAATGAGAGCATTACAGAGCATTGCAGTATTGAGTCATAAATGCAATCCCCTGCTTTCTCTTTCTCTTTCTTCTGCAACGGTCTGTCATTGCCTCTCCCTAATGAAAAGGAACTCTCTTTAATTCTTCCTCTTTTCTTTTCCATCGTTTTTTCAATTCTCCTCTTTTTATAACTCTGTGTTTTTGTGTTTAATCTTTTTATACTAGTATTATAACTTCCTATTTTTAGGAGAATTTTGTTGTTTTTGTAAGTGATGATCTATATGGCATGTTATTATTACCTTTTCTAGTAAAGTTTAGTGTTACATTTCTCTCCATTCTCACTTTTATTCTTAAACAAGGCTTGTTCCTTTTAGCTTAATTTCAGTTCAGTTCAGCTCAGCTCCAATCAGTTAAACTCCAATCAGTTTAGTTAAGCTTCTAATTTCCTTCTCTCATAAAATATTCATTTAAGCTCTATGTAGTTCATTTCAGCTCCAATTAGTTCAGTCCAGTTTCAATTAGTTCAGTACAGTAAATGTGAACGCCTTAAGTCGACGTCATATCGATTATTTGGTTCAATATACATATTTACTGTTAAATAATTTATTACGACATAACAAACTTATGAGCTACACCCTCGCCTAAATATATACAAATATAAGGTAAGTACGTAATTTATCAACATATAATTTTAATCTCTTTAAAACTTTGAAAACTTATGATCTGTATGATTTTCATTCTTTGTAAAAGTTCGATTCATGTGAATTACATTAAATTAGGTTTCTATTCTATTCAGCGTAACAAAAATAAAAGAGAGCTTGATAAGGCAAATTGGTCCTCGTTTACTATGATGTGCTATAGTGTTATTTTTGGTCATGCATGCATTTCAATTCATGCAATAGTAACACATACTACTTGACATTCATTCAAACTTAAATGTGGTGAAGAATTGAAATTGCATTAAATTAAAGGTATCCACATATATGATTCATATAAATCAAGCTTTGAATTGAAATGAAATAACATAAATAAGTAGAAGAGGATAGCATTGAATATAAAGATCTTTGTCCTGGCCACTAAAAAATCATCATCATGGCCCTGAAATCAACTAACACAGCTATAGCAATAGGCTAAAGCTAGCAGTATACATTAATTAATGTGTACAATATAAATATATAATGTTTTCTATCATCAACTTGAATGAAATTATAAATATAGATGCTCCTTTTTTTTGGTAATCTTCAACGTATGCATGGATTTATGAATTTTAAGTAAACATGGAATCATTATTTCATCAGAACCCTTCTCTAGCTTAGCTTCCTTTTTTTTTTTTTTTTTTTTTTTTTTTTTAACTTATAAAGTATATTATTTTATATACTACCTCCGTTAAATGTTATCTGCAACTTTGGGATATTATGTGTGAGATATAAAATATTTCAAAGTTGCACATAACATTTAACGGAGGTAGTATGTATGATACAAGTGCAATGTGCAACATAATGTTATTTTTTCATTTATTAGACAATAGATGCTAACATAGTAGATAGAACTACCAATTTTTTTATATTTACGTGCATTTACCTAGTATATATTTTGAAACGAAGGAAATGTTAATTAGTATATGAATGGGTAGTTAAAATATTTGTGGACTCTTCAATGTTCTTTTAGAACACATTTGGTCTTGGATTCAAATTATGATCACATTTGATTGATTTTTGATGAGCTATTATTGGATTATTTTTCCTAAAATAATTCATATAGATGTGTGGACTATTATTAAAAGGGATATATAGAAAAATCACTTTCGTTATAGTTATAAGAGTATTTACTTACAAAATAGATTATATGTCATCGAACCTTGTATTACTACATTTATAGTGTGACCTTAGAAAATTAATTATTTGTAAGCCAAGGAAATGTTCGATTAACCTCCAATTTTTTTTATGCATAGTTATAAAACGTTTGAGATAGATTTCTTGAGCACCAGAGGCAATAAGTCATGAGTTTGGTTGACTTGATAGGTGATCTCTCTCTCTCTCTTATTCACCAAACAATGAATTTTGGAGTACAATTATCTAGGTGAAACAAAATTTATAATAATCCTAGTAGGCATTACTTATACAAGTATCACCTTAAAATGAGTAAAATTAATTTTATATACAATAATATCAACTACTCAATAATGCCACTTTATCGACTTTCAAAATATCTCGCTAATTTTTGACAAGATCTTTTGTTAGTTGATCCTATAAAATATCACATGCATACGTTATACGAATACATACATGCAACTTTATTTCACACGTACAGACATATATATGTACGCGCATGCACACTAACTACATGCATGCGATATATAATTAAATAATCATATACACTTAGATGGGAAAAAAACACAAGTACATACTATCTATCATATACACGTCTAAATTGTTAATCCTTTTCCAAATAATTAAACTATAACAATTATGTAGTTTGTACTAAGTAATCAATTGAAATTCCTAAATGAACCCGGCAATATCAACTTGGACTTTGTAAAATGTCAGTGATCGATCATATAAGTGTATATGTAGAAGTGACCAAGAAAAATATACTTGTATGAAAAAGGGTCATGAGAAATCTTGAACAAAATGACAAGATCGACTAAAAATACCAGAACACATGCATGTATTTGTCCCATAAAATATGACAGAATTTAGATTTCTTAGAAGAAGAAAAAGGGGACAAAAAAAAAAAGAGAGATAAAATAGGTACACATATATGGCAAAAATTTTCAATGTAAAGTTGTTAATAATATGGATATATGAGAACATCAACTTCCTCTATCTCATTTGTCTTGCTCATTTTTATCATTTCTATCTTGCTTGGTCTCTCATTTTCTCCTTTCAAAATAGTGAATTTCGCTAGATCTTCCATGTTTACGAGCCTGTGTAACACATACAAAGTACTTCGTTAGAACAAACTAGTAATTTCGCTTGATAAAAATAATATTTATCACATCAAGTCAAGATATCAAAGAGTACGTAAATATTTAAATTTCTTATCACGTTTACTCAACATTATGGACAAAATAACTGATCTGGTGCAACGTTACATAACAAACTAATACATCGATTTTAACTAAAAAAATCTACATTTACCATATAATTTAGATTCTATCCCGAAATACGAAAAATTCGCAAATATAATTATTATGACAACGAGTATATAATTTCAATTTATTTGTAAAATAAAAATGAAAAAGAAAAATGATTACTCCTGGGGACTACACGAGCTAATGACCAAGTGACAAAAAGCACATAGATAGCAAAGATGCAAAAGGAAAGTACAATGTCATATAATGTACATATATTGGTGTATTGCAATGTTTTCTTTGATTTTTACGTGGTCGAGCGTATTATTTGCTGTCTAATATTAGTATTGTCAGTACAAAAAAGGACACTTATTATACCATGCATGACCTCATCATCGATAAATTATTATGGCTTCTTCTTTGTTCATCATCTTCCTCTTTTAATTCTGTTTTTATCTTTTCAAATTAAACCCTAATCATTCTCATTTTGATTTATATTGAAACCCTAACTTGTGTGCTAGTACATGTTCTTTTCTATGAAGCTAAATCTTTTTTAGGAGACACAGAGTAAATTATAGGCAATTCACATTCGAAAACATTAACCTTTCCCATAACGCGAATTAAAGTTTGTATAATTACATGTTAAAAATATTGAATTTTCAATTTTATTATTTATTAAAACACGTGATTTTATCATAAATGAATTAAATGTTACCTTTTAAACAAGAAATTTTTTTGAAGGATTATGGTCAAGAAAAACCTAAATTTTTAAAATCAATTGTACATCAATAAATCATCCGAGGAAATATTTTTTTTTTCTGAGTAACAAGATATAAATTTGTGATCATCTTCTTTTTTTTTTTTGACAAGAAAATTTGTGATCATCTAAAACACCTATATTTGTGTTTTGCTGTTGTAAAAAAAAAAAAAAAAAAAAAATAATACAACTATATTTCGAAAATGATTTATTGGATTTTAGAAAGGATAGAAAGAATAAATTAAGGAGCAAACATACAACACTTCCTTAAAATAGCTTACATCTGACCTTATATATTTCTAAGAAAAAAAAATGTACTGTACTAAATAATGAAATTCTTACTGTATATTAAGGCAATTAAGCCACAAAAGTTTTAAATTTGACTATTTGTTATAAGGCCAGGATAATAGTGTTTGGATAACATTATTATGTATCCATAATTGATGAATTTGATTTTATGTTGCTGTTCTTTGAGCAATTTTATTAGACACACCATGTGATGATAACTATGTTTTCGGAAAATTAGAGGAAAAAGAGGAAAATTTAGTAAATGAGTTCATAGTTTTATGAAATTCTCCGTTATTTATTGAAACATAATTTTATAATTCCCACACCAAAAAAAAAAATGATGAAATTTTTCATTAACGTGGACCAACTTATAATAAATAGGTGAAACATAAAAAATAAAAAAAAATTACAAAATATGAATAATTACCTATGGTAGGGTTTGAGAAGAAGCCATGGCATGAAACCCTAAGAAGAGATTAAGACGGATCAATACTACGGCGGTCATCGCCACCGGCAGTCCTAGCAGTAGGTTGTTGATGGAGCTGACTTAGCTGTCCGATACCGGCTGCGGCCGAGACATTCATGTTCATGGCAAGAAGGCCAGCATCATAACCATGACTCCCACTACCACCCGCCGCCATATCGAATCCTCTTATACTATTAATCCCAAGTCCAGCACCCGCTTGGTGATTGCTCGGGAAAAATTGGTGGTGGGAGTATAAGTGCTGCTGGTGTTGGTCCCTCGCACCAGTAGAAAACCCACCACCACCACCTATTCCAAGAAGGCCAATTCCGAGGGACTGAGAATGGTGGTGGTGGTGGTTGGCAGCCGTGGAAGTGGCCGCCGTGCTTGTCATAGCAGAGGCTGTTATGACCCCACCACCCCCGCTACAGCCTCCTGTAGCGGGGGTGGGGAATGCAAAGTTCTGGTACTTCGACAGCTCGGTCCTAGCACAAGACAAGTCCACCTGGAGCTGTCGAAGCTGGTGCTGAAGCAAGGAAATGACACCCACACAACCGTAGACAGGATCACGAAGGCGCATGTCCGCCTCGTAAGCTAACGAGTTGACCGCATCCTCCCTTTGATGTGAGTGAAGCTCATTCAGAAGCTTAGTAACATTACTAGCACCAAACACTTTGTGCACGTTAGCAAATTTCTGAGGTTGGTCTGGTGGAAAATAGGGCGCAAAAACACATTCTGGTTGACATTTTCTCCTTAGAAACTTGCACGCTGCACACGGCGAATTCGACGACGACGCCATTTTCTTTATCTTCTTATTAATCTCTATGTCAACTTCAAGCTTACCTATATTTAAAAAAAAAAAAAAATTGTATATTGATCAAATGAAGAATATAGAAGTTAAAAAAAAAATACTAAAAAAAAATATTTTGTAAAAATAATGAAAAAAGGAAGAAGAAGATCTACCCTTAAAGAGAAGATATGATGTGAAAAAAAGGGCAAAGATATTCTCTCACTTAGAAAAACAGTTGAGAAGGATTTTCTCCTTTTTGAGTAGAGCAGCTAAAGCTAAGGCAGGTATATAGCTGTGTTTTTTAGTGATTTATCAGCAGCTTTCACCAGATTTGAACTGTCAAACCCAAAGTCAACAAATTATACTACTACCCCTTTGCTCAGACTTTCCTTAATTATAAATTAAATTACAAAAAATAGGTTACACTCCCAATTCATGTAAGGGGAAAATAAAATTAATACAAGTACTTATAACCTATAACCGACTGTATGTATGTATCTAAATTTGCGACTGATAAATAATTCAGTCGCAGAAAAGAAAGATTATAAGTGATCGTATCGTGTTGTGTAATGAAGTGACGGGTTTAGGGAAGGGAGAAAAGGTATGTAATGAAAAGGTTGATATACCGTGGGGAAATTAAAGGGGGTGATTGAAGCAAAGGGGAGGAGTACCGTGTTTGGATCTCGTGTAGGGAAAGTAAAAGGGAAGAGAGATTTACACCAATTTCAAAGTGAAGAAATAATGTATCAAATTAAACGAGATCTTGCTTGAAATTCATAGATATTATCAAACTTTTATAATAATTATTATTGCTAATAATAATAATTAATCATATATAATTCTTCATTCTTCACATACATACACTTGCTAATTCTCATAAATTTGACCTGTAAAAAGCTAAGAGTTTTAGACTTTTTATGAGGGGAAGAAGATGATTTTATAATATATAGTCTTGGGATTACATAAAATTTCCCTAAAATCATGTAATAATATACAAATTTATATAGTACTAGTAGCTAGGTAGTCATAGAATTGTACGTAGTACTAATGGGAGTACTATATATTATAGTTGTAATTAATTTAAGTAAGAGTGAAGTTGCAATAATAATAATAATAATTAAACAAAGTGAAACTAGTACTTTACTCTAGTATAAGGTATTATTAAGGTCCTAACAAAGAGAAATCTTATCACACTCTTTTGACTATTGAAAGATTGGGAGTAGTGAAGTTAGTTCCTTCTTAATTCTCTAATTCTTCCTCGGGATTGCAAAATTAAATCCCTAATTAACATTTTTTTTTATTTAATTTAATCAAAAGTTATAACAATTCTCGATCTCTCTTAAACAGTTAATGTGAAATAGAAGAAGCAGCAGTTATAACAAGCTAAGTCATGATGAATTTTTTCTCGGTTCATTCAGTCAAACCTTAATTTACTTTAATTATTTTTATTACATAATCTTCCTCCTTTTTCAACCTCGATTTGTAAACTTTTTGATGAAAACTATGAAGAAAAAGACCCTTCCAAAATTATTTTTATAACAACATCAAAAATTATTTAAACAACTACATTAAAGACAAAAAATAAAAAAAATTGTATACCTTAAAATTAGTTTTGGTGAAGAGGAGAGAGAAAGAGAGAAGATCATGCAAGTTTGTGGGGTGTGTTTGGTGGAGCAAAAAAATCTCAAACTTCCAAAAAATTCGCCGTGAAATTATCTTACTCACCGGAAACCTTTGCAAGAAGAAAAAGATGATGATAATGATGAAAATGATATTAATATTATTAAAAATGGGAATTATTTATTTTCTTTTTTTTTCTAGAGAGAGAAAGCGAGAGCGAATTTTAGAGAGAGAAAGAGAATAAGATGGGTGCACCCCCAAGAGCAAAGGCTAAGGAGGCGCGGAGAAAGTGAAGTGAAGATTTATAGTGAGTGAGTGAAGTGAAGCGAGTGAGAGTGAGTGAGTGTAATGTAGACAGCTAGCTGTTGTTAGGGCATAGCAGAAGGTGTTTTTTTTTTTTTTTTTTTTTTTTTTTTTTGGAAAAATTAAAAGAAATAAATAAATAAATAAATTATGTGGTATTTTTTTTTTATAAGGATGACAAAGAAATTTAATGATGATGATGATGGATTGATGGGGAGTAGCAATAATATTATGGAGAGAGAGATAAGAGTTTCATTTTAATTTTGTGGTGTGGTGCATTTAATTTTTTGATGTACTATTATTAATTTCATTTGTGCACGTAATTAATCATCATATCATGTGTGTTATAAATTTCATGGGTTTTAGACTTTTGACATGTACGTACCACTATTTATTCATTCATTCTCAAATTATAATTAATTGAGAGGAAGTATTAGAGTGTGTGATTAAGGAAGGAACAAATAAAAGCTTAGTATATCTGTATATGAAGTGCTTGTTGATCTCATCGTACTTAGACAAGATATTAGGGCAAGAATACAAATTGGGTGTAAAGGTAGAGAGCGAGAAATAAAGGAGGGTGAGAAGAAAATGTACATATATGGCAATAATATGAGAAGATCGGGTACACCATACATTGTTATATACTCTTTCCATTTTAATAAGTGTTATTAAGGTTATGCATCCAAGTATTGATCCAACTATAAGTTACTGTATTGGATCTTAGAATCGATGAATAACATGTTATGTAGCATGTAAAATTTAAACCGACATACAAAAGTTACTAGTAATATACTTTAAAAAAAAATGGAAAGAAAGGAAGTTAGATATATGAGTGGACAGCATATAAGTCATCAAAATGGATGAGATGTTCCAATTTTGATCAATTTATCGAACATAAATAATACTGTTACGTACCCACAAATAAGATTGTTTATATTTGAAGCTAAGTGCTATTACGAAAATGATCGATACAAAAGATGATATTGATGGGTGCAGCTAGAAAGGGAGAGTTGAGGGTAAGAAGCTAAGTAGGAGGAGATAAGCAACAGGGTTGGGTCGTACTTGTCGGCTGTCCGACTGTCCCTGCTTGCCTCCTAGTCCGGCGTGGGGTGGGGGTTTATTGCCTTTTCCCCCGCCTTTTTATCTTAATAATCATATTCTTGTACATACTTACAAATTGTTATCGATCATTGAGACTCTCTGATTAATGCAACCTAATATTATGCTACTTGTATCAATTATATTTGTGATCATCGTCATTTTTAAGCTCCTAAATTCTAGCTCCACTTACATCAAAGTACAAACTTAAATCATGAACATGGTACATACTTTTATTTTAAAAGTCATTTTTATCGAAAAATTAAAAGCGAATTAAATTAAAAAGTAAAATTAAATAAAATTAGAGGTAGATTTGTACGTGCGTGTGATCTTATGTGTGTACAATTAATTGTTCTTGATCAACATAATTAATTAAAACACTATTGGTTATTGATTACTTGAGTAGTGTGTTGATAAGTTGTATATATATGTAGTAGTTTATATTCTACTTATGACATATTTTCTAATAGAGTTACGATAACTGCAGCTCGCGTAGCTTGTAATTTTAATCGTTGAAATTGTGCGTTGGGTAAATGTGATAAAAAAATATGTGCCAAATAAAAATGAATGGAAAAGGTAAGATTATTAGATAAGATTTAATTTACGTTAGTATAGTAGTATATAATAGTTTTATACTTCCTCCGTTCTTTATTACTTGACCCGCTTTGACTTTTACACTATTCACCATCCCTCCTTTGACCGTCTTTTGTGAATAATATGTAAGGAAAAATATATTCATGTATGATCTTTTGGGATTCGTCTCAATAAGTACTATCATAATATATAACTTTTATAATTTTTACTAATGGAGAATTTAAGTTAATGATCGTTAAAGTTTTGTATTGGCAAGCGTGATAAAAGAAACAGGTCAAGTAAAAAAGAGGAAGTACATAACATCGACATCATAAGGCAACAAAGGACTCCGTGGCCCAATGGATAAGGCGCTGGTCTACGAAACCAGAGATTCTGGGTTCGATCCCCAGCGGAGTCGTTTTGTTTTTTTTGTATTATTATTATTATTTTATTGGGTCTCGTATCCCAAATATAAAATCTCGTAAGTTATAAATTTATATTTGGGCCAGCAGATTATGATCGTCTCTAGGTGTGTCAGCCCAAAACCACATACTCTTTTATTATTCTCCTTTTCACTTTGTCTTCTTACATCTTTTTGCGAAGCTAACTCTTTTTACAATTAGATTTGGATCAACTCGATCATGTGTTGAATAAACTTCAAATATGTCGTAGTACACGTAGTTGGTGCATGATCTCTATTGTAGTTGAAAATATTGCTAATCACAATTTTGAGATCGTCAAGACGTTAATGTCAAAAGCTCGATGCAATCCATAAGTTCTTAAGAAGTAATTTTAATGTTGATGCTGTGCATAAGTGGTTCTGAGCATGTAGGGTGGTCGATCGCACATGACCTTAAGGAAAAAAAATCAAAAATATTATAAAAGGGCCTTGATATATGAAATTTACTTACACAAAGTAAAGAGAAAACTTGTTAATCACTAATCTATTCTTTAATTTTACCATAAATTTACTTCCTCCGTTCTATTAATATTGCAACAATGGACTTTTTGCACTATTCATCACTCTTGTTTGACCATATAATATGAGTTATACGTTAAGCAAAATATAGTCAAGTGGGATCTTGTTGGATTCGTCTCATATAATACTTTCACAATATCAACTTTTTATAATTTATACTCTTACACAATTATAGATATTTAGCATATAAAATGTGTTTTGGGATGCGTAATTTCCTCCTTATTGCAATATTAACAGAACGGAGCCATTTAACAAATTTAGGGTCCAATTTAACAAATTACACCGAGCCATTTTTAGTGATAGCATTTGTAACCCTGTCTCTAATGCTATATAAAAGCTTACATAGAAGAATTCTTCCTTTTCTTTTTTTTTTTTTTTTTTTTTTTTGTGATTGTGTTTAAGTTTAAGTAGAGGTGATCCAAAAATCGGTTCAGGCCGGACCTTAACATAATATGTCGTGCTCAAACCTGCAAACGGCTTATCAGGCCTTTTTAGAGTTGATTTCGAGCTTTTAACTAAGATGCATTTATAGGCTTGCCCAAACCCGTCCTATTTTCCGGTTGGGTCGGGCCATATTGATGACCTTTATTTTTAAGGGATTACACTTTCATAAGGGACTAATCACCACCAACATACGCATGCGTCATATTTTGGGCTTAATGTTGGGCCTTATAATAGTACAGGCCCAGTCAACCATGCCAACGGTATCCAAGGATGTATATGCTTCTAATAATCATATTGTAGCTAAGAACACATGCTAGACTCATGTCTTTCTATCTTGTTGTCTTTAATTCTTTTTCTTCTTTTTTTTCCTCCATTTTGGAAGAGCTAATCTTCATTCCCTTTATTTATTTATTTTTTTTTCCTTTGTTTAGTAAATTATAAAATTTTCCATCAGAATCTAAAACTTCACTAAGCTTGTAATACAATACTTATTTGGTAAAGTAGTAGTGTTTTATAAGTTACTTTTAGTACTAAAGCTATAATTTAGAAAACTTTTATACGATACTAGGAGCTTTTGTAGGTAGAGGCAACTTTTACAACTTGTAAATAACTCCTTTTTTTATGTTTTTTGATTTTAATACTTGGTAATAATCCAATCACTTGTCTAGTCAGAAACAACTTCTACCTAGGCTTTTTTTTTTTTTTTTTTTTTTTTTTTTTTTTTTTTTTTTTTTTTTTTAACGAAGGATAACCTAGTCTATTATTATATAAAACCAATATTCTAATAACAAATTATGTTCAAAATAATAGGAGTATTTTTTTTTTAAATGTCAACTATCTTAATGGATTAAATCATAGAGCCGTTATCCAAAACATGTGATCAATCCTTTCTTATGGAAAACACCTCGCTAACATATTAACAATAATCTGTTGATGCTTTTGTCTAGGAAAACTTTGACTTGTTTATTGGGATGTCGAG